TCCCCAGTATATTAATTTATAAGTTTGTGTGATTGCTTTCTGTTTATCAATAAAACTGTAGAAAAAAAATAAAAAATAAAAAAATAAAAAATAAAAAAAAATCTAAAAAAAATAGAAAATAGAATACAAATTTTATTCTGAGGTTACACAGAAATGAATTAACCTTGGAGCATATTTCAATGGGTTGGTGATCCCCAGTATATTAATTTATAAGTTTGTGTGATTTTTTTTTTAACCATAATTTTTAATAATTTAGAACAAGTTCACACTGGGGGTATAGGGTGGAGGGTTTACTTATCCCTGGGTTTGCTCAGGGTTGAGGGTTTACTTATCCCTGGATTTGATCCTGAAAACTGCATTAAAAAAAGAACAAGTTCATTTCAGATATTTATTTATTTATTTATTTATGGCACCAGGGATCAAACTCAGGACCTTGCGTTTGTCAGACAGGTGCTTATACCATGCCAGGTTTAGACTGTTCTTTAAGCAGTATAAAGCCCTGATCATTTTCAAGTTAGGGTGACATGTACTTATAGAAATGTACTTTAGCAAGACGATCACCATGAGTTTGAGGCCAGCCTGAACTACAGAGTGAGTTCAAAGCCAGCTTAGACTACAGTGTTTTTTTTGTGTCTCCAAAGCAAAAAAAAACAAAAAACTGATGTACTTAAAGATTAATCTGCTTACTTTGTAGAAAATAAACATTGTGCCGTTATTCAGTCACCCAAGCACAAAGTGACCAGAGCGTGAGCTAATGTGCTTGTGACAATAATAAAAAAGAGAAAATGGTTGATTTAAGAGAAAACGAGTGCAATGTGGGATATCTACCTGTAAGACTCCAGGCTAAGATCCTGGATACTTTGGTCAGGAGATGGAGACTGGATGTTCAGGGTAGAGGCCCTTTGAGTAGAGAACACAAGAACTGAATACTTGGACTTGTATTAAATGTGAGAAATGGAACCTTGACTTCTCTCATCACAATGGCAGGGATCATCCTGTCTCCCTAGTTACCCAGCTCTCATTCTCCTTTCTCCATCAGACGGAACTCCAGGTGGCGCAACAGGAGAACCGTCGCTTAAATTTGGAGCTGCAGGAGGCCAAGGGCCAGCAAGAGGAGCACAGTGTTCAGGCCCAGAGACTGAAGGACAAGGTGGCCCAGATGAAGGACAGCCTAGGCCAGGCCCAACGACGAGTGGTGAGTGAAGGCCTCAGGGAACAGGAAGCATTGATTGCTGCAGAAAAGTGTGGGTGGATAGAGAAGGGGGAGGAACATGGCTAAAGATACCACATAATCGGAGGCCTTACGCTGTGGGTGGAGGGCTGGTTTACAGATTCACTGGATTCCTGACCTCTGTCTCCTCTCTCCTGAGGCTGAGCTGGAGCCCCTGAAGGAACAACTGCGAGGGGCCCAGGAGCTTGCAGCCTCAAGCCAGCAGAAAGCCACCCTTCTTGGGGAGGAGTTGGCCAGCGCAGCGGGAGCCAGAGATCGCACCATAGCCGAACTCCACCGCAGCCGCCTGGAAGTGGCCGAGGTCAATGGCAGGCTGGCTGAGCTCACTCTGCATCTGAAAGAAGAAAAATGCCAGTGGAGCAAGGATCGGGCTGGGCTGCTGCAGAGTATGGAGGTAGTAGGGTAGGGGTAGTCTCCTGGCCCCTATTTCCACCTCTGTAGATGCTTCTACATGTACTCAGGCCCTCTGAGAGGAGTTGAAGGTCTCAGAGGTCTTAGGGATGGGGCAGAGCTTAGAGGGAGGTGCTCTTTACTTTCAAAGCAGGACTAGGCCCTAACCAATGTATCCTAATCCCTGACCACCATAGCAACATTCCTTAGTTACCAGCCTTGCCACAGAAATATTTCCACCCTAAGCACCAGGCCTTGCCCTAATGCCATTACTGAGCAGCAGAGCGCCTTCCTGTCCTTTGTTTGGTGGGGATAGGCAGCTAAAAGAGGAAATTGCTCCAAGAGCAGTTCAGTTCAAAAGGGGAGAGATCCAGCAACCCATAGCACTGTTCCTGGTGCCCTTCCTGTTCCTTCCCCTTACCTTCCCATTCTCCTTTCACTGACCTCCAGGCAGAGAAGGACAAGATCCTGAAGCTGAGCGCAGAGATCCTTCGGCTGGAGAAGGCAGTGCAGGAGGAGAGGACCCAGAACCAAGTGTTCAAGACTGAACTGGCCCGGGAAAAAGATTCCAGCCTGGTGAGGCAGCCAGCCACCACAGGCCCTTCGTGTGTCCTGCTCTGTCTTTGGTGGGGGCTCGGAGGTGCTAGCTGCCCACATCTGTATGGGGTGGCAGCTCGCACACCTCCTAGCCTCCATTGGTTAGCACGCACAGTGTCCTCTCTGCTCTCAGGGCACACATCTGCGCCTGGAATTACAGAGTGGCCTTGGTCATGCTCTGCATACCAGCCTAGGGCAGCCACCAAGAGAAGCAGAGATCAGGACTCAGACTGCATCTCTGTAGCCAAGGAAGGGTCCCATGGAGGGAGAGCATTGAGCAGAGGAGGCACTGAGGTGTGGGGACACCTGGTTCTCCACTGCTGGTCCAGGTCCAGAGCCCAGGTTCTTGGAGGCACATTGGAGACTCAAGGTTCCACCAGCGCTTTTTCCTCAGGTGCAGCTGTCAGAGAGTAAGCGGGAGCTGACGGAGCTGCGGTCAGCCTTGCGTGTGCTCCAGAAGGAAAAGGAGCAGTTGCAGGCTGAGAAACAGGTAAGGACATGTGACTCACATCCCTGATGTCAGAGGTGAGAAAATCGAAACTGTTCCTTTCTTGTCATCCCTGGAATCTCTAAGAGGGCCCAGTGACTAAAGGGGCACTCTAGTTCCTCTTCATAACTCAATTGGCGGGTGAGAGGAGGGTCACCACGAGATGAGAGGGATGTGAAGCATGCAGGAAGGCTCCCGGGTGTGGGGACCCACCCTACACCACCCCACCTTGTGGTGAAGGCTTCAAAGCCTAAGGAGCAGCGGGTTCATCCAGGAGCAGGGAAAGGCTGTGTGGGCCAACAAGGTTGGCATCTTTCTGGCCTCTGCCACCTGCTTCTTTCCTCCTCAACTCCAGGAACTGCTAGAGTACATGAGGAAGCTGGAGGCCCGCCTGGAGAAGGTGGCAGATGAGAAGTGGGATGAGGATGCTGCCACAGAAGATGAGGAGGCCACTGCAGGGCTGAGTCTGTACACCTCCAGTCTGGTGACACCTTCCCCCCCACTCCTGTTGAGGAGGAGACCCCTGAAAGTTGCCTCTGCCTTGGTCTTTTTTTCTTCCCAGCCCCAGCCCCTATATAGTTCATCATGGTCCTCAAAGGAGATGGAACTGATCCAGCCCTCTGGCAAACACACCCTTCTTTCTTCTTTGCCTGCCTCCTCTCCTGCAGGCTGCCCAAGGGCCCTGACGGACTCAGAGGATGAGTCCCCAGAAGACATGAGACTCCCACCCTATGGCCTGTGTGAGCGTGGGGACCTAGACTCCTCTCCGCCGGGGCCCCGAGAGGCCTCTCCGCTCGTTGTCATCAGCCAGCCAGCACCCATTGCTTCCCACCTCTCAGGGCCAGCTGAGGACAGCAGCTCTGACTCGGTGAGAGTGAAAGCAGGGAAGAGTGGGTAGGGCCACACCCGAGGCTCCGGTCCCCCAAGAAAGTCTTGTCACATAGGGCTCTCTTTTTTGTTTTTGTTTTTTGTTTTTATCATGCTTAGGCAAGTGCTCTGTCATTGAGCTACACCTCCAGCCCCCGAAGTTCTTATTCTCAGGGGAGAAGCAGGCCCAGCCTCTCTTCAAAGCCACCAAGGGATGCTACCCCCAAACCCAGTCCAGTCCAATAGTCTGATTATGCAGCTCCTCCTCCCCTTAGTCTCCAGCCCCCATCAGAACCTCCCCTGCCTCGCTCTTCCCACAACCTCTCTGCCCACTGTCCTAGCCTTGGCCTCTCTTCCCCTACCTGTCCCGGTGGGCTGCTCCCTCGCGAGGGGGGCCCATCCCCAAACCCGTCTGTGTCTCTGTGGTACCCAGGAGGCTGAGGATGAGAAATCAGTTTTGATGGCAGCTGTGCAGAGTGGTGGTGAGGAAGCCAACTTGCTGCTTCCTGAACTGGGCACTGCCTTCTATGACATGGCCAGGTGAGTGTGGCAGAGGAGGACAGAGGGGAGGTGGGAGGAAGTCAGTGGGCAGGACATCCATGTGAACAGTAACCACACCGTCCTCAGCAGCCCCCTTCTTGGCCTCAGCCAAAAAAAAAAGGAAACAGGTATGGTTGATACAGAAAATCACACATCATCCCAAATGCCAAGCGCCTTCAGGTAATCTCTCCCCTCATCTTGCACTCCAAGGCCCTGCCTTTAACTGGCTTCTGTATTGTTCCAGCACCATCTTCCATGGAGCCCAAATTGCCCTGCATCCCCTCATTCCTGCCCCTACCCCCTCCCCAACCACCAGGTAGGTAACTTAGGCTTCTCGAGGGAGGAAGGGAGGTAACCCAGCCCCCCCAGGGATAGGAGCAGAAAGAAGCCTGAGGTCCAGCAAGTGGCTGCACTTAAGTTGCTGACCCTTTTCCCTGAGGATTCCCTGGGAGGGCTTCTCCCGGGACAAGGGGTTCAGGTATCCAGCTCAGCCTCCTCTTTGTGCCCTGGGCTAAGAACACAGGGCATGGGAAGAGAGATTTTTATCTTCAAGCTCTGGCTCTGCAATGGACTCAGGGAAGGGAGGGGTGATACTATCATCCTTCTCGACTGGAGCAGGAGATGAAGGACGATGTCAGACTCATTTTCGGCCTCATTAGGCAGCAGACAGAGATGGAGGGAGAAGCACAAGAGCTTGGGGGATGGGCCCTGCACTGCAGAGACCAGCAGGTCCTCAAAAAGAGCAGCCAGAGAATCGGGAAAGCTAAGGCATCCTGTACCGAGGGGAGAAAGATGCTGCAGAAGAGTGGGACAGGATGCTGCTTTAGGAACAGGGCCATCTAGGCACCAAGATGCATGGTCCTACTCTCTGAGGTCTGCAAGTTAATAAGGCAGCAGAGCACTCTGATCCTCTCCTGTCCCCCTTTGTGTCTCTTTAGTGGCTTTGCCATGGATCCTCTGTCTGAGGCTGGCACTGGGGGCACTGCCACCCCACCGTGGAAGGAATGTCCTATCTGTAAGGAGCGCTTTCCTGCTGAGAGCGACAAGGATGCCCTGGAGGATCACATGGATGGACACTTCTTTTTCAGCACCCAGGACCCCTTCACCTTTGAGTGATGTCACCCTTTTGTAGCACATGTGTGGACACGCACGTGCACATGCACACACACACGGACATCCACTTTGCCATCCAGTGGGCTCCATGATACCCTGTGTCATAAGAACCACTCCTGTATGCCCTTGTTCCATCCCAGCTTGCTAATGTCATCCTTTCCTACCTGGCTTTTTGTCCTGGCCAGGGTCCTCTTTGGAAGCAGTGGCTAAACACCCACTGAAATTGGTTTTGAAGAACCCAGGATAGAGGAGACCTGTGGGGCTAGAATCCACTCCTAGCCCAGGTTGCTTCTGATATACTCTCTGATGCCCCAAAGCCAATTCCTGGGGCACTCCACTCTCTTATTTGGGGTTTGTATTTGTTTACCTGAGTTTTCCCTAGGGCCTGCATAGGGGCAGTAGTATGGACACTCCTGACCTTCAGATCTTTTGGTTCTGTTTCTTTGTTTCCTCTTTCCTGGTTGACTTCCATACCTCATCCCAGCCTTTTCTGTAGAATTAATATCTTAGATATTAATATAGAGGTCTGTTTTGTATTTTTGAGGCTTCCTATACTGTCTCCTGCCTCTCCCTGCTGCCCTCCCCAATCCCCTGTATCCTCACATGAAATAATGTATTTGTGCCTTCTGTGAGGGTGGGGTGATCCTACATGTCCTCATCTCTAGCCCCTATCCCAAAGCCCCCCACAGCAATAAGAGCTTCCTCTCCTCCCATACCCTTCCTCTCTTATCTGTAGTTTGGACAAATATATTTATATGATAAGTGTAACTGTTGTCATAAAATGTGTTCTTAGGCGGTAAGAATCTCAGTGTGCAGGAGGGATCCAAGGGAAGTCCTAACTGCTCTGCCCACCGTCAGCTCCAGGATGACAAGTAAAGGACCTTCGCCTGAGTGGGCGGTCCAGCTTGAGTGCATTGCAGTGGAACAGAGCAAACTGACAGGTCTGGGAGTTCTGCTCACAGTGAAGCCCGAGGACTGGGGCTGCCAGGGAAGAGCAGTGGGGCTTCTGCGCATATCTTCACTTCCCATAGCAACTGCCACTGTGCCTATGCCAGAGGACAGGCACAACTCCTGTCAAGTGTGCATACCTTTGAGTTCCCACAGAGCCCTCTGAAGGCCATTTTCTATTCCACCCCTGCCTCCTGCTCCCTCTATTGTCACACCTGTGTGCACTCTGACTCCACACCACAAAACATTCATCCACTCTAACCAGCTTCACAGGCCAGACAGACATATCCACAGCACCATAAAGCATTTATGAAGGATCTGTGTGCTCGCCAAGGCTCCCTAAGGTGCCCTGCCAAGCCGCATGCCCGTGGCCCCCTTATTCTCTACCCAAGAGCTCCTTACCCACACCCTCCATTCCCTCTAGGGCCCCTGGGTGTACCCCCCTCCCTGTTCTCTCTCTTCATCCACCTGAAACCTTGCAACCCCACCTGGATAACATCTTACATCCTTCCTCCTTCCCTCACATCTCTGTATCCTAGCAACCCATCTCGTTCCCTGAATCCCTTCCAAGGAAATTAGAGATAATGGATCTCTCCTCGCTCCATCTCAACCCCTCTTTATTGATCCTCCTTTAATGAAAGTTAATTATAACAATGATTTAATTAATAGAATCCCTCTCTTCCTTTATTGCTTCCCGTATTAAGACTATTAATAAATACGAGCTGGGCTGACAGAGGCATCCATCACCCGCCTGGGATTCCCCATCCCTCCTTTTACCCTCCCCTTCTGCCCCTCCCTCGCTTGGCCTATAAACTCGCCGGGGTAGTGGGGGTTAATCAGAGAGGAATTATGAGCCAACATCCCCAGCAGGAGGTGCATTTAATGAAATCACTTGTGATTTATGTCTGGGGGAGGTTGGAAGGGAAGAATCTGGGACCCACACATTTGTGGCTTCTAGGGTGGCCCCCTAGTGCAAGAAAGGAGGAGGAGAGAGAAACAGGGACCCAGGTCCTGTGTTTCCATCCCCATGGCCCCTGCCAAGCCACACTGCCTGGCAGGAGCCACATGGCTAACAGCACCGAGACCACTGACACAGATATGCTCATGAGGCCAGCAGTTTTTTCTTTCTCACATGCAACACTTTCCATGGGTCCCTCTGTCTCCTTCCTTTCTCCCCAGCTCTGTTCTGCTTCACTCCTCAAAGCTTCTCCACCGTCCCCTCCTCCATGAAGCCCGCGGTCCTTCGCCAACCCCCTCCATGTGGCCATCTAAAGGCTGCAGCTGCTCCCTTCTCTGCCTTTTCTGCGTCTTTCTGGCGTGCAGGCTGCATTTCCACACTGACTCCCGTGGGCATTGGGAGCCGTTTCTCTTCCTTACTCATGACTTAACCTCATGCAGTGTCCAAGACGCAGCCCTGAATCAGAGGAGCTCTGGGGAGGGTGGTGCCCTACTGGGGGTAGCGAAGACAGTTGGGTTCCCATTCTAGTTCTGCCTCCTATGCACGGTGGCACTGGACAACTCAGTCTTTCTACTTTCTTCTGCTCTGCAATGAATGTCATTCCTGCCCTGTTTCCCAGCATCTGCAGAAGCAGGTAAATCTAGATGGGCTTGAATGCAGAAGCGGGTAAATCTGGATGGGCTTGAATGAAATGAAAAGTGCCAGCAAGCAGGAACTCATGTATCAGTATTTGGTGGTAGAAAGATTTATCCAAACATACCACTCCACACTTAGAGAACCTCTATGGCTGCCTGCCACCTACAGAAATTGAAGTGCAAATTACTTAATGTGGCAGTCACAGTCCTCACTGTCTGGCCCTAGCCTACCTTTTTACCTTCCATCCCACCCTGAGCAACTTCATATCCAGGATAACAGAACCATTCTACAGAAATGTGCTTACTCTGTATGCCTCTGAGCACCATCTTTCCTCTCAGCTCAAAGGCCACCTCCTCTGTGAAGCCTTACCTGACTTCCCCTGTTACCCTGGGAAATACCTATGTAGCAGTGTAAAAAACATACTCAGCATTGTGGTGCACATCGTGATCCCAGCTACCCAGGAGACTGAGGCAGGAGGATTGTAAATTCAGGGCCAGGCTAAGCAACTTAGGAGCACCTTGTCTCAAAATCTTAATGATTAAGCTATCATGCCTCTTAACAGTAGCCCACCCTGTACTATAGATTGTATTTTTTTTCCTCCCTTTTCACTCAGCCAGAACTCACTGTGCAGTGTCTGCTTTTTCTTACCTGTCTTTTTTCCCCTACCTTTAATAAATGTGAAACTTTGCCACTCTTAAAAAAATTTTTAAGGGCCTTCAAGATAGTTCAGTGGACTAAGCACCTGCTTTGGCAAATGCAGTGACCAGAGTTCTATCCCCTTTCCCGCACACGGGCATAGTGGTCCATGCCTGTAATCCCAGTGCAGGGGAGGTTGAAAACAGGAGAATCACTATGAGTCTGAGTTGCATAGTGAGACCCTGTACCAAATACATAAATGGAAGAAAAAAATATTTTTAATTAGAAGAGCTAGAGATACAGCTCAGTGGTAGAGTATTTGTCTAGCATGTGCAAATCCTGAGTTCAGTTCCCAGTAGCACAAACACACAAAAGTAAAAATGCTACATAATATAGCCAAGTTTTTTCTTCTCTCTAGACTATAAGCAACTTGAAAATAAATTCTAGCCAGGTATGGTGACACGCACCTGTAATCCTAGCACTGGGGCTACTGAGGCAGGATTGGAGTGAGTTCAAGCCCAGACTGAACTACAAAGTGAGATCCTGTCTCAAAACAAAAATTTTGTAGTTCTATATCTCTGTGATCCTAAACACTGATGCAGGGAGTTGCACATAAGTGTAGTCATCCAAAAATACTTTTTATATTATTTTAATTTTAAAATTTCATATATGCAAAATGATATATACAAAGAATAAAAAACCCAGGAGAAGTGATAACAACTCTAGTCCCAGTGCTTGGGAGGCTGAAGTGGAGAAGCCCCTGAGCCCAGGAGCCCAAGACCAATCTGGGCAACATAGCGAGATGCCATCTCAAGAAGGAGAAGAAGAAAGAGAAGGAAAAAAAAGAACAGCATTGAATTCACTAACTAGCTTGAAATAATCAAACATGACCAACACCAAGTGACGTGTAGTTAAAAAAATAAAATGTGGTGCCAGATGAGATAGAGATGTTTCTGTTAATTTAAGAAAGAGTGTTCTGGGCCGGCAAGATAGCTCAGCAGAGTAAGCACCTGCTTAGACAAGCTTAGGCAAGCACAGGGACTATGGTTCGATCCCTGGCACCATGTGCCATGCCAGCACTGCCTCCAGGGCGGGCTGAGATGGCAACAGAGTCTGGTGTGGTGGTGCAAACCTGTAAGCCTGGAGCTGGGGAAGCTGAAAGCAGGGGGATCACTATGAGTCTGACCTGCGTAGTGAGTCCCTGTAACAACCAAATGCATAAATAAACAAACAAACAAATGTGTTCTTTATAGAAGTAGAGATAGAGTGGTTAAAAACACTGCCCTCAGATAGCTTGTAGTTGGTGTAAGTCACCAAATACAAGGAATCAAGATAACCACAACTTTAGAGGTGTACACAGCTGACTCTAGAGCCACAGAGGAGGAAATCTTAACCAAAACTAGGCAAAGTAAAGTTCCCATGGGTGACAACATGGGGCTGGATCTTTAAGGGATGAGTAGATGTAAGCCTAGCACAGGCAGGCAGAAGAAACAGTGTGCTCAGAAATCTAAACATTTAGGTAGGGCTGCTGGGCCAGGACATGCAATGTGGGAAATGAGACTGAAATGTGGCCTACTGACATTACTCACACATTCACTCATCAAGATTCGTGGGGTGCCCATTACCAGGTGCCAGCTGCAGTTCTAGGCATTAGTGAAGCCCACGAAAAAAATAAGAATACCTGCCCTCGTGCAACTTACATTCTATTGCCGAATCATAGAAGTCCACAGAAACTAGTTAGGAGTCAGCTGTAATAGCCCAGGCAAAAATGATGAGCACCAAATCTTAGGGGCAGAATTATTAGGACCTGGAGATAATTATATATGGGAAGTGAACAGGAGTCAAGTGATCCTGGGTTTCTGGTTTCAATGACCAGAAAACTGATGATGCCATTCTCCAAATAAATAATACAAATGGAGAAAAATACATGCGAGGAAAAAGTGGTTGAATTTTGGCTTATAGATTCCTAGTGTTTGGGGCATAATTTTTCTTTTTTCTGTGCTAAAGATTGAACCCAAGACTTCATATTTACTAGGCAAGTGCTCTACCATGGAGCTACCCCCCCCCAACCCTTTTAAAATCTTATTTTAGAACAGGGTCTAAGTTATCCAGTCTGACCTCAGAATTGAATTCCTCCTGCCTCAGCTTCCCAGAGTTCCACCATGCCCAGCATGTTTTAGAAATCTTCTGCAGGAGAAGATGATGCAGTATGCAGTTAGGTAGATATTTAAGTCCAAAGATCAAAAGTTTAAAGCTGGGAATACAGATATAAGATCCCTGACAGTAAAAATGCTAAAAGTGAAAAAAGTTCTCCTCACAGGAATGGTAAAGGTAAGAGGGTAAACCAGAACTCCTAAGAAGACCATCATGAAAGGGGAGGATGGAGAGTGCAGTTATAAGAAAGACTGAGAAGCCCTGGTCAGGGAGTCAAGAAGCCTCTCAGGAGAGAGGAGTCCAGGACAGGGGTAGCAACAGGGAGGCCAGGAAAGTGACTCTTGGAAGCCACTGGATCAGCAGCCAGGGGGCTGCAGGAGACCTGGAAGACAGTGTTGGAGGTGAAGTTATTGAATGGCTGGACTCCACACAGCCT